TTTCAAAATTGTCAATCTGATTTATTTTACCGAGGCATATTCTAATCCCTTTTTGTTCAAATTACTTTATTTTCATTTCAATTAATATCAATAATTATTCTGATAACATTTTATTTTTCGCAACATAGAACGTTATCATTCAATAACAGTCTCTTGTTTTATTTACTAGATAATTCTAGAAGTTTTCAGTTCTTTGCGCCAAATTCATCCTTTAAAAAATTTGGAAAGCATATAAAATTATCAATGTTTGTCAAAAATTCATAGTAATTGTTACAAGGCCTGTGCTTTCTCTACTGAAGTAATTCCCAAGGTGGTACTTCTATGAATTACACAATATAGATTTTTTTCCTCACAAAATTCCTAATATTAGATATCAAAAGAGTATATTAGTGGTCCATATAATTTATTTTACCTATGAAAATGTATACCTTTTTTTTCAGATTACTTCATTTCATTTTAATTCATATCAACATCGTCGGCCCTATGATAGTCTACTTCAAATTGGATTGTACACAAATTATTTTACTTTAAATTCTCAAATTCTTTTAAATTTCACATGTTTGGGTTTCCTGCAAATAGAAAATTTTGTAATTTGTTTATTTTGCCGCCCTTGACAGATTAATGTATACATTTTTTATAAAATCAAAAGAAGAAAATACTATATTCTTGTGGAGATGTCTCCTAATACAATATACTTTGTATGAAAAAATTATTTAATACTACGTTATACTTTTTAATTATACGTTATACGTTATACTTAGTTAAGTTAATTTAAAACATCAACAAATTTTCTAATTTATTTAAAAAGAGAGGAAGTTGTCGAATTTACTGTACGTTTTTCAAACATCGTTTTATTATGGAGGGAGAGGGTCAAGATATAAAAATCAAGAAATAATATATTGGTGATTAGAAAGAACGTAGTTGACAATGAAAAATTACGAAGAAATAGAGAAAATTTGGAAATAGTGTGGTACATGATGAAACCCAGGAAATTTTGGGAGAACGTTACATTCTGGTTAAAAACTGGTTTCATTGAAGATTCGAAAAGCCATTTAAAATAGTAATTAAAGGTGATATTATTATAGATTGTAAGATATATATATATATATCTTTATGTATATATTATGGACAGTATATATATATATATATATATATATATATATATATATATATATTTTTTTTTTTTTTGGACATATTATAGACAGTTTATATATATATATATATATATATATATATATATATATAAACTGTCCATAATATGTTTTAAGTAAGCTATACAGACAATTTTGATTTCTAATGACTACATTATATTTTTATCCACTATTCACTATCGATATTGATACTGGACCTAAGTGTTATTGATTTTATAACCATGTCGCCAACGTGCAATTATGATCTCTAGTATTTGGGTAAAAAATAACAAAAATGGCCAAAAACATAGTGTATAGATAGATTCATAGATAGCATATATAATGCTAAATAGAAATAGATGTACCTTTATAATAAAAGTCGATGAACTCTCCACTATGATATCCTGCCTTTTGAGATCTTCTAGTTCCTCTTTTATGTGTTGCCGCATTTCTTGTAAATATCTTCTCTCCTTAAGTCAGGTCACCTTGTCCTGCTTCGGCAAGATTTCGTGGACCGTTTTTCCGATTGCTCCCTATATTTACCCTTTGTTAAAAAAAATGTCTGCGTATTTCCTTTTTATCGTCTCTCTCCAGTCATTCATTCGACAGATCGCTCCTATATTGGCTTTGCTCTTAATTTCTGACATGTTAATTTGATATTTTCTTCTTCCTGACCAACCCATTGTCCCCCGCTATTCCGAATTATAGCCATACTTTCTTTAAGACGTCACATCCTATTATTACTTGGTACTCCCGAGTCGTCCTTTCAACTACTTGTATCTTCAGCTGGTTGCCCATCTACTCATTCCTACCATTACTTCCCTGTTCACTTTACATAGTCCACCCAAGATTTACCTATGTTTACATACCTGTAGCTACTGAGGTATATTCTTTCCCTCACACAATCCCTGTACCAACACATTATCGTTTTTGAACAACCTGTATCAATCAGGCACCCCATTCCACTCGCGACTCTAATGATAGGCAATTTTCCAGGCTGATTCTATATAATATAATATTTTTCATGATGTACTCTCCTCGCTGCCACTGTCCAGCGTCCTCTACTTCCTCTGGCACTGCTTCCTCCTTCAACTCCTCGGTTCTCTGGTTCGCTTACCTCTTCCTCGCTTTCTGAGTTTTCAGTAGATTCGATCGACTCGGATAGTAGTCTGCTTCCCCTCCATTCTCTCTTAGCGTTAATTTAATTCTCTCTACGTCTGCTCATATAGAGACATTGTCTGGCAATATGCCATTTGGTACCAGATTCGACACTTCTTGTACCTTGACACTGTTCTACCAAGTATACCCTTTTCCCGCATTCATGACATTTTCTCACTTCTTTCTTCCAATTCATAATAATTGAATCTTACGTTAACTAACGTGAAATGAAGTCTTAATTTGATCTCTCTCATTTTATAATTTTTATAAATCTTTTATTATTTGTTTTCTGAGACGGATTTGGAAATTGGCTACTGGTTAAAATAAGCTGCGGGTGACCCTGGTAATTCAAGGGGGTACCCGCATGTTCTCTATGCATTTTTTTTATCGAAATGAGTTTCCAATATCCCTTTTATTATAAATCGAATAAAATTCCTTCATATGTATGTATATGGGAGCGAACAGTGGAATGAGCAAGGAAAACCTCGCGAAATCTATTTGAATCCGTCTAAATCCTTTTTTTATTTTATAACTTCAAAAACTAGATAAACTGTTTTATAGATACATTGTATTGTTGACGGAGTTTCCGAGAATATTTTCAGGTGGCACAATATTCATTTTTCACTGTTTTATTTAAAAATTAAGTTTTAAAAAAATATATATTTATGTAGCCAATGTCGCGAGTTTTCCCTTACTTGTCTAACTGTGAGGTGGGGTGGCCGACTGGGCTAACGCGAGTGACTGAGCACCGTGAGTTGCCGGGCAACCAGATAACCAAAGTTATATGAGAGATTTAAAAGTACGAGTTCGCGTCCTGGTGCCGATATTAATGACGAGTGGAGTCTGAGCAAAGGTACATTTTATAAATTTTTAAAAAAGTGTACTTGAATGTGTACAGTAAGAACCATAACATCAAACAAAATATCTAAAGTTATATATATATATATATGCACATCAATATGATTGTATGAAAATTAAATAACATCTTAAAAGAAAAAAAGAAATTTGATTTTTTAGAAAAATATATATTTTGACCCATGTTTGCATCTATATACTATTTTATCTTATTAGGCTTATGTAGAATCTAGCAAGGAACAGAGATGAATGGAATTTGTGGCTGTACTCTCCCTACGCTGAGGCAAAAAAGGGATAAGCAACAGAAGCAGAAGATGACTTTTGAGTTAAAATAAATAATGTCTGAAAATTCAACATTGGAACTGTTTACATGAATCTGATGTTCTTTGTTTATATTTTAACTTCATCTCAGTCACTCTAGAAAATCTTCCGTAGATAATCAAAGACAGGAAATGTGTCTAATATTTTTTATGTAGTTTCACTGAAAAAAAAAAAAAAAATGGTTGAGTATCGGTGATCCAGTGACTGTAATCACCCATTGTTAGTAACCGTTTGATGTACCTCTACCCTAAAGTAAATATCGATACATTTTTGTTTTACTAATGGGTGAGAAAACTTATGGAGCGGCAAAAACAATTGAACTATATGCACAATATTTTATTCAGCGCTTTGATGTCTTAAAATGTTAAGGATCTTTTGCAAAGAACGGACGATATCTAATTTGTTGATCCGGCATGCTTGCAAACGAGGGAACAAGTGTGACTTGGTTGCTTTTTTTTTCACTTATCTCGCTCCTTTCTGTGCCGTGGCAGTAATGCAGACAATATTTTGAAGGGCCCTTAGATAAGAAGATATCAGTTTCTCCATCTAATGTGAATCCTCGATGGTAAGGTAACTCTATCTATGAGTCCTTGGGATTCCTACGCCCACATGGTGAAGAATGCGGCGACAGAGACCTAATGAGCTGACTCCCTTTCTTGTTTTCGGCGAACCACTCTCTGCTACCTGCTCCCTTGATCCAACCGCTGGACTTTTAATTTGGAGTATGCGGGGGACTCAGATTACCAAACCATGGGAACGCGGCTGTTGTGAGCTTTCCCTAGGACTTAGAAGTTACACTGGGTTCTTGAAACCTATTATTAAAGGAAGTTTCGGTATTTTATTTAAATAGTATAGGATTTATAGTTTTTTCTTCCAAAGCACATCATATCTGATTGTATCTCTTATATATTATATATAAGTCTAGGTGATTAAAATTGCATGTATTAAGTAGTTATAATAATATGATAATTATTTTAGAAGTATGATCTGTGTACAATTGCGTTGTGGTTCTTAGTCAATATGACAAAGGGCAACACATTTATGCAAACCCCTTGTAATCAAGTGATCAAAAGGATTGAGAAGACCAGGCAGTGTTGCAATACAACTTTCACAATAATTATTATTCTAAAATTATTTAATTAATAGTAGTTATTTCGCTATTTAGTTATTAACAGTAATTTTGTTATTTGTGGATAACATGGATTCCTATTGAGTCTTTGGTATGATATTCTTAAAATTATACTACCAATATTACTAAACTTAGGTAGTATGAATGTACTCATAGAGCCATAATACCCAATCCTTGATCTTGGGAGATTTTGTATTATTATTCTTACAATAAAAAAAAAAACACAATAATTAATGCGGTATTATAGATTCCTATTTGGGCTCTCAGGAGATAAGAAAGCACTCATGGATTTTGATGAGTGAGGTATCAAACGAAAGAGAATTTCATGAGGAATTCGGAATGGTCAAATCTGAATTTCGAAAATTTATCCCAATCATAAAACAACAACATACGAAAGTCATTGATCAAAGTGAGAGGTTTAAACACTCAGATGCTGCTCTAAAGTCAACGAATCGAGATGGGACATTCGAATCAGAAGAAATTCCATTCCAAAACAACAAATCATATTTCGGGAAATGGAAATCTCTGTCAGATCTATGTTTCGCATAGTATAAACACCTATAAGTATAATAGTATAAACGCATAAACACCTTAGGATGGGTGCATTTCTAAGAATGGTTACAAAGACTAACCAGTTTCTTGAAAAAAATTTGAGTGGATCGAAGCAAAGTGCTCCTTGGACGTTACACCAATGGTCTTCATCGAAAGACTTTGTTTAAAGATGAGAAAACTTTTACAATAGAAGAAAAATTTAGTCGCTAAAATGATCGTGTGTACCCACACAGCTCTAAAGAAACCCAGGAACTCACTGGAAGATTGGAAAGAAATCATCACCCTTCTTCAGTGATGGTTTGGTGGGGAATTTGCTTTGATGGCACCACAAAGCTCCATTTTTGTGAAAAGGGAGTTAAAACAGCTGCTAAAAACAATTTAGACGATATTGTGGAACCTGTTGGTTTTTTTTTATCGGAAAGTGTACACTTGACAATACTGTAATACTAAATTTTTTTCCGCAAGAACAATGGTTATCTCATGGGGACAAATTAGAAAAACAAAAGAAAATGTCACAACTTACCCAACCCCAAGGACTGGCACAAGGCAGTACTCAGGAAGGAAAGGCACATATTAAAAAAAATAAATAATCTAAAATCACTTTTATTATTGTACTATATAACAAGTTATCACTTATAACTAATAACGCATAAACATTTGTGTAATAACGCATAAACTTTCGGTCTTACCCGACCTTTTTCTGGGTATTAAAAAGCCAAAACAAAATTTTAAAATTCACAAAAAACAGTCACCACGACAATATAAAATTATCTACGTACGTTCATCACTACTAATTAAGAACTAATGTTTAAGATATAACGAGGAAAAACATTCATTACTCTATCTGAATGTATAAAACAACAATTATTTAAAGAAATGGAATAAAAATAGTTACATTTTTATGTTAAAATGTAATGGAATCTGAACGATATTGCAGATTGGGCCACAACATAGAAAATTAAGATGAATGAAAAACAAAGTGTGCATGTGGTATTCACTCTTAACTATAAACCTTCACCTGAAATATATTTTAATAACATAAAAATTCCAACATCAGACGTAATTAGGTATTTAGGCTTTTACCTGGACAAAAGACTTTCTTGGAGAACTCACATCAGACAAATAGAACTAAACAGACGATACGGTATTTTATCCAGATTACTTGACAGACGTTCAAAATTATCACTAACTAACAAACTGACCCTTTATGAAGTTTTACTTTAACCTATTTGGACTTACGGCATAGAACTGTGGGGTTCTGCTAAAACTTCTAACATTAAAAAAGTTCAGTCCTGTCAGTCAGAAGTGTTGCGAAGGATAGTTGACGCACCGTTTTATGTCGCAAATGTTACACTACATAAAGACTTAAACGTACTTACAATTTTAGATACTGCAAAAGAGAAATAAAATAACTTTCACCAAAGACTGACGTACAACATGAATCCCCTGACAGAAATTCTTCATCGTACAAGAAACCCGTACAGCCCACTACGACGATTACGCAGGCGTTGGCCAAGAGACCTGCTGATCTGATTTATATCCCGGACGTGATGGGAAGCTGCGAAGCTGACAAAATATTTGCTGATTGCAAAGAAATTTGCAGAGTGCAAATTTAATCAAATGTTCTACATTTTTGTTTCGTTAATAAATAAATAGATAAAATGTAATGAAGGCCTCTAGTAGCGTTAATGTCTTGTGATGCGTCAGCAATACTGTTAAGTACGTTCAGACAGACACAACATCCTTTAATATGACGACTATTACAACTGTATTCAGTCTCCCCTTCAATACTGGAAAGGATGTGTCATATTGCTTAGCTAAAGAGATACTTTCTGCTAGAACAAGCTGATTACTTACTAAGTAAACTACTTCATTAACATAGTCATTATAGGGTTTCACTAATTGTGTATGTTGAATGAACATTTTTGGTAATGATATATCCTCTATACCAAAAAAATTGTTTTCTCTAGTAACGATTATACTTCAAATTTCTATACTTCGTTTCCTTAACTAAGATTTCGAAAAAAAAAAATTATTTTAAGTGAGATGAAAAAAAAATTCTTCCCCAAAAACCAAACGCCGTTTTATCCGGACTGGATTCCTCTATAGGATCTGCCAGTACGTGGATTTTAAGTCAATCAAACTTAAATATTTGACATCACGCTGTCGACCGAGGATATGCGAAACATAAGGAAATGGATAAGCGTCCTCCTTAGAAACAGAGTTCAGCTTTCTATAGTCCACGCAGAATCTATTTCTTCTACCTGCTTGCTTAAGCTACATTACCGTCGAATCTTAGTTGAACAAAGTATAACAAAATTGATTGTGGAGAAAAATGAAATTTATAGTAATAATGTAGTAAACATTACTTGGAAACCTTCCTTGATGATTGGGAATGAACGTGCAATATAATATAGCTTGGTTTTAAAAAAGTCTGGATTGGAATGGAAAAGTAATAAAGAGGGAGGAGACCTTAGCTAGCTGACTTAAGTTGGGATAAGAATCATATTATGGTTCGATGAAGTGAGTTTTCAAGGAAAGGTTTAATTGAGCTCAAGAGACCGATCTACGTGCTCTAGCATATTGCACATGTCTTATTTTTATTATACATGTGAACAAGTATTAGCAATAGGAAAGTCAATTGCACGTTTGAATAACTAATAAAAGTTCGACTTTTAGTAATTTATTCTTATCTATTTTTTTTTCCATACAAAGTGATGTCTGTAAAAAGAAACTAAATAAACAGGCCGGGTGACATTTGGTATAGTTATCATTCACTCACCGCTGGAGAAACGGCTCCCGAACGTCCAATAACTCTGGTAGCGGTGCCAGATGTCTGCGACAATTTATTTTTGGAAAAAAACAACATTAACCATTCGATTTTCGATTTCACACCCCTGTAAATGCCTTTTTAAACACACTTTACTTTTTTATTACGACAGAGAAGTTTTTTTATGGTTGTTTTTAGCCCTTTGAAGATAATATATCACAATGAAAGCTTAATTTATTTATTTTTCTCACTATTTTACCTATCATCAAAACAAGAGTAATAACTGTCTGTGTTGAAAGAAATGTTGTTTTCTGCCATTTTAGTAGTTTCTTTTTAAACATGTTTATAAGATTCTAACAAGATGATGCTGCAGAAGGACTGACATCAGTTCTGGGAACTGATTCTGTGTTACATTTTATGGCTAATACTAGCCAAGAATCCTGAAACAATTGGATTAAAAAATGGTTTAGTATAGTAAATTTTTTCGAGCTTTGTAGCGATAGGATTAATAAAACTCTTTAGGATGCTGGAAATTGCTATACGGATTCCTGGTATCGATTAGGAAAGCAACACTTCGTGGTAATTCACTAAGAAAATCTGTAACTATTTGATTAGTTCTTGATGTCATTTTATTTAAAAAATTAAAATTATATTTTCAAAAAATCCAAAAAGGATAAAAAATTTTTTCGATGTTATATATATATATATATATATATATATATATATATATATATATGTATATATATATATATATATATATATATATATATATATATATATATATATATGTATATATATATATATATATATATATATATATTCATTTAAACTTTTACTAAATTTCCTAAAAAACAGTGGATTTGGTGCAAAGGTATGTTTTTCTAAATATTTTCGACACCTTCTTCTGTAGTTGATATGCTTTGTTTTGAATATTGAAACGTCTTACATCAACTGAAGCATTCGGTCTTACAAAAAACATATGAACTGATATCGATAAACGATCAAAAACGATAATATTTCTCGGCTTTTAAAATGATCGGAATAGAAAAAAAAAACCTTAACTAACTCGGACTAAACTTATCATTGTTGCTAAGAAGAGTTTTAATAATTTTTTATTCTATTAATATAACGTACCAGTGACGCGGCAACGAGGGCATCACTGAGAAATTTTCACTTTTGATAACCTAATCTTCTTACAGTTCTAATTCGGGATTCAATCTCGATACGGCCCTGAAACCGAAGAACTTCAATGCCGGCTTTAAACTGAAGGAGAAGGGATGGGGCTTTTACGAAGTGACCTAACTAATAAAAATTGTTGGCAGTCCCTGATTCAAAGCAGATCTGAACGGACATAAAGTCCCGATTGGCCAAGGGAAGCCAGCACAAAGAGCAGGCCATTACATAGCCTACAGAAGAGCTTCTCGCCACCATAAAGTACTCAGCTAGCCTATATTTCTTCCCTTTCTTGAGCTGTGCAGGACTATTCCGCCGTTGACTGGGTATCACTATTAACTCTTTTTCAACTTAAAATAATTACGAAATACGGTTTCTCCAACTCCCAATTTAACCTAAAAGGAGTTTAGTTACATTTATATTTAAAACATTTTGATTTGAAGTATTTCTTCAGTACACAATCATAGACGCAAAACACCATGGTCATTTAAATGTGTTATCTATTTAATACTTAATAGTTGCCCGTTGTATTATTAAGTAAGCAGATGGTCCGGGGTGTTGGTCATAAATAAACTAAAAAGTGACAATACTATTATATTAAAAGCCAACCTTTCGACCAAACTTTGCAGGTCTTCTTCAGGGCTAGAACGGTCAAAATACAAACGATATAGAGTATTGTGGAAGTTACATAATATTTAGATAAAAAATTATAAACAACGTGAAATTATGAACATTAAGTACATTAAAATATTAAGAACAATGAGTTATATAAACAGAGTAAGCTAAGCAACAAGATCCTAAACTGAAGTAAATATATGGTAACAATTGTTGTAGTATTATATATAATATAATATATGCAATTTTTTTTAATATTTACTATCTACATCAATGTACGATCATCCATTTTTACTTTTTATTTTTTGTATTTTTAAACCATTATGTCTTAATATTATCTAATATTTAAATGTAATTTTCTTACATGTGTACAACTAAGTATAATTATAATTATTCATATTTGTTTCCTCTCTATATTTCTAAGTTATATCTGCAATGTATGGTCTCTTATTTTTATATTCACATTTTACTTCTATGTACGTTTAACATTAACATTCATTTGTGTTTTTATTCACATTGTACGTCTGTATATATGCATATATTTATAATTAATTAGTTCATAGATACAGTATTTTCCCTTGTATCCATCCACATGTTCAAATTTTAGATACTTTAATATTCCAGGTTTCGTTTTACTTTTAGTGCTTACCCCCTCACCATTTCCCAACCAGGTCATTAAATTTCCCTAACGGTATTTACTGCGGTTTTCCAGTTCTAAGTG